CTCTTATGAAAATCTAACTGAATAGGTCATTTCGGAAACAACCTAATTTAATTAGGTTGGTATTTTGAGGCAATGCTATTTTATATACGTATTGTAGGTTATGGGTAGGTACTTTTGGAAGACGAAAGGTGGATATAGATCATACCGTTTTTTTATTATCAATTTTTTAATCTGTGGGTCCTATGCTGTTTTCGAAAATAAGCATGATTTTTAATGTTTTTTATAAACCTTTCCATTTCAAACATTTGGAAAGTACAAAAAAATGACAAAAATACATTAAACTTGGATATAAGATATGATATGAACTTGAAAAAAGCTGTATATTATTATTTGGATTTACAGGCTATCCATCCGCATCAGAAGTAGTTGTTGTAAGCCAGTTGCATATATCATTCCAAAATTCGGCATGCTTATCAGGGATATATTGCATAACCTTTTTAATATCCTTAATCTTGTTAATGTTTATTGGTATTTCATTTGATGTGAATGCAGGATTTTGAAGCATAGTAGGTGGTTGAGACGAGCTTCCAACCACAAAAGTGTATGGGACGTCAAACCATCTATATCATCATACACTTTGATACTACCAGTATATTATGAAGAAAATATTAGCTGGTTGATAACGTGAACTGGGTTTTTTGGGCCTTCGGTATCTTCAGTTTTGCCGATTCCATAGATACCGTGTTTTTCTTATACCATATAGGCCACCAACTTTTGTAATCCTGAATTTCCCGGCTTGGCCTGGATATTATTCTAACAGAGTATTTAAAACTGTTACTTGCTTTTGGAACCAAGGTAGGTATAGCTCATCAGGAACATACATTCTATCATGTTTTTTCAATATCCGTTTTATTCACTACCCGTTCATTCCTAAAACTACACAGAATCTCGATGGTAACGACAGGACTCATGTGGTTTTCGCTCAGACTGATGCGTTTTGAGGTATAAATCATCATGGCGCCGAAATTCAGATTTAGCCCAGATATGGACTTTTCGAAATGACCGATTCAATAGCAGAGATCATCTTTGCCGTTGATGCATGTTTTTGTTATTAGTTACACTGTTGGGATATTAAGCAGAGACATTATATAGGTTTTATTGATTTTTTCAACATACCTTTCGATATTTTCCCGATCGAATGACAGACAAGGTGCAAACACGCATAAAATAAGGTGATAATTTTTGTACTAATTATCTTCACTAGTATAACCTATTTACATAAATTTGCTCAGGCGCATGCCGTTGACCTTTTATTTGAAGTTGAGTTACATCACTTGTAATATTTTACAAGTCTAAGTTAATTGATTTTTCGTGAATTGCGCTTATTGTTTACCATTTACATATATCTGAAAACAATTAGGCAGGTATTTGCGAACGCTAAATGGCTTCTGTCGCTTGTCGCTCTTCCCGAAAAATAACCTGAATCTTGCTTAGTTTATTGAACTCTCACGGGAGTCGCAGGACCGGACCTGACGAGAACTCCCGCATAGTTTAATTACGAAATTCTGTGATCTGTGATAACGCCCGAATCATCATAAAATTCTGAGATCATTAAAAACCAGGAAATACCTAGTTAATTCTGACTGGTTGAATCTCATCATTATTGAAAATTACTTAGGTAGGTATGTGGAATTCACGTTTTTTTTTCTCTAAATATGCCCCAAATAACATGATGCATCAAATACCAGATATTGAACTACGTTTTGTCAGACTGGTTTTCGCAAGGATTATGTCTCTCAAGAGATAATAATATAAAAAGTATTATACCTATGTGCCCGGAAAAAAATTCTTGATGGGATATTTTTATTTTCCATATCTTCAAAATATCATCAAAATATCAACGAGCACAAAATGATAGTGATTTCCTACGAGAATGAAGTTTGCAACATAAGCCATAAAGAACAAACAAGAGCAATCTTGTGTTATAGGTAGCCGTAGAAAATAGTATATTGTTTAACGAGCATGGAATGATAGTGGTTTCCTACGAGAATCATTCGAGTAGGAAATTAGCATTCCGTGCAAGTTATACACTATAATTTTTCTACGGCTATAATAGATAACAGCGGCATTTTCGATTTCTTCGTCTTGTAGCCATCTGATTTCCTGTCAAGTAATGTTCATCCTTTAGACAGAGCTGTTCATTGCTTGAAACTTGAAATTTGACATTCCATGGGTGATGCGTTTTTTTTTGGAAGTAATAACAGATACGGAAATGAAATTGATGACATACAAAAGTACCTCATTGATATATCGAACACAGTAAAACAAGAGCTATCTTGTGTTATAGCCGTAGAAAAATATTTTTTGCCAGCACTAGCTATAGAAACTACCATTATTTACTCATTTTCAAGGCGTAAAGTGCGCGTTTTTCCTATCAAGGTAGTTTTCGTCATTTTATGAACTACAGTCAATAAAGACATAGCCACCTATCTGTTATAATTAACCCGAATTCACTGTTGTGATGCGAGATTAGCAGAAATGGCACTCGAATCTAGTAGGTATTCATCTACTTGTCATAATATTTGCCCACATGGTCATGGCTACTAGCTTTTGATCAGAATTAAAATAAGTGCTTTCATAGTGGCATTTCCGTTTCACAGAACTATATAATGACTGAAATATATTGCTAGTACTGAAAAAAACTTAATCGACACCTTGGTGTATGAATAACTATTTCCAATACATTGAAATACATTTTTTCTTCTTTAAAATTTACTCTGGAAAAATGTTTCTTCTATAACGTTTCTTAAGAAAGTGTCTTTAAGTTACAGTGTTACATTGTTTTAAATGCGTTATGCGTTACATAAATAATTTGCAATGGATGTTTTCTGCAATACGTCTCTGCTCAGAAAATCACTCCTCATGACTAAATACAATGCCGTTTGGTATGCGTACCTATAATAATAGTACGAATACTTTATGTATTTCACTACCTGTTGCGAGTATGAATAACCAAGACAGATTTCGAGAAGTCATTGTATTCTAGCGAATTGCAAATACAGGGTGATCCACCGGAACATTTGTACTCATTGATGAAAAATATGAAAAATGCAACACCAATTTGATTTCGTGGCCATATCACAGGTACGAAGAAAATAATTCTATTTTCTTGGAAATTAAACTCACGTCTCTTATTCATATATATGATAGCCCGAGTGATAGTCCCGAGGATCGCCCTAATGAATTCAATTCCATCTCCCGCCGAATAAGTTTCAATGCCGGGACAGAAAATTGCTTCATTGTATCTGAGGTTATTTTTTCTTGGTATTTTGCGCAATTCAATGAAATAATTGAGTGTTTTTGATCCAATTCTAATTCATTCCTGCAATTTATTCTGATTCAAACATGTCACATTTTCTATTCAAGGTTATTTTTAGGCAATCATTTCATTAATCTCGTTTTATTTCTACCCGTTCTGAGAACGTTCCTATGCCGGTTTAACCGAAAACAACATTGAATAGGTAAATGTGTTAAGTGCGTACATGGTGGACCAAACTTGTGTGGTTTTTTTCGAGATTACGGAGATTTTGATCCACCCAGTATTATCACTGAATCCCAGTTTGGTAACATGGTCGAATAATATCATAATATGTATTGTTGGTGAAAAACTATACAGGGTAGGTAATGTATTTCGAAAATGAAGGATACCCAATGAATAACACTTCCCCAAAAAATTAACACACCACCAAGAAGTAGTCAACAGTTCAAGATACATATTTTAGTCAAAACTATACTTGTCCGATTTAGACGTTTTTTGTTTTGAATGACAGGTTATCTCTCGGGTTATCTCCTTCTGAACATTGGTGTATGAACTGAATTCGCATGAACACTTTTTTTTATGCATACCGGGTGCAGCAATTATATTTTATTTCCTGGAATTTGTAATATACCCTGTAAAGTGAAATAGTTACACGTTTCAACACTATCAAGTTAGAATTGAAATTACACTTTAGCCCCATCTTTCTTCAACATTATTCTTGAACATTTCTTTTTTGGATTCACCTCATTATCTTTCCTATCACTGTAGGAACACCATTTAATAGCGTAACATAATTTTATGAAAAATCAATATCCAAATTTAACAACGCAAAAATGCAACAGAATGCGAAGTCACAAGTTGAACGAAAGGGTCAGTAGCAGTTTGTCCGCCTCGGGAAAGAATAAATTCTTGGCAAATACGGCCTATACCTACTTGAAATAAGAAACCTCATGTAATGTGTTCCCAAATTTGGGTCAGTCTCTGCCGTGAGTCTTCCAAGGTATTCAAGTCACGTATCTTTTGGTCCAAGAATGTCTCAAAGATTTTCAATGGGATATAAATCCGGGCTCCGAGCTGGCCATGCCATGGTAACGATATCAACTTCCACTAGATAATTTCACATCAACTCGGACAACGTCAGAGGCCTGGCATATCTTGCCTCAACAAAAATCCTAACACTATTATTATTTCCAATATGGACCTTTCATGTGTAAGGCTTCCATTTATGATCACCAGTTCCATACGACTAGAGAGAAATGCCTCCCCAGACCATAACCTGCTACTTACGTGCTTATAATGCTATTTGAATTCAATAAAATCATGTATGCTATAAATTTGTTTTTCTGGAGTGATAGGAAAGATAAATGAGCAAATTCAAATAAGGAATGTTGAAAGATAAAGCTAAAGTGTTATTTCAATTCTAACTTGATAATGTAACTTTTCCAGGGAAAGAAACGTCCAAATTAGACAAGTAGTGTTGACGAAAACGTATCCTAAACTTTTGGATATTTTTTGGGGGAGTGTATCGCGCAAACTTAGCAATTTAAATTGGCCCTAGTCCTATTTTTTTGATGAGGTCATATTCTGAAACTGATGTTTTTGGTTCCAGATGATCTGTAATGCCTATCACTGCCTAACTTAGCTTAAGACATTCCTGAGTCCTTTCTACACAAGCATCACGTCGCTAAACGACACATCACAACGAAAGTCTGATATATATACATAGAAACTAAGCAGAAATATGACAAAGGACGAAGAGCATTTTGAAAACCACAAGATGTTGGAGATATCCGATAAATCCAGCAACAACAACGAACTGCCAGAAGAACAAACCAATCTGACGCAAGACCTAGACGTAGCGTTCCATCAAAGAATAGAGTGCAATGGTAGCCTAGTAGACGATGACAGCGACATGGAGTGCGGATTAGGACCATGCGCACCCAACTGGATGCAAAAATTCGCTTCCAAGCAGGCTTTCCTGCTCGTCTTTTGCATAGCCTGGGTGCTGCAAGGCATGTACCACACGTACTTCGTCAGTGCAATAACCACCATAGAAAAGCTATTCCAAATACAATCGAAGATCACCGGCATCATAATGAGCGCCACGGAAATCGGCCAAATCGGTTCCTCGCTCCTTCTCACTTACTACGGGGGCCAAGGTCACAGACCCAAGTGGATAGCCTGGGGCATGGTTCTGTTCGCTGTGTCCTCCTTCACTTGCTCCTTACCCCATTTCATTTACGGCAAACAACTGATCAACGCTAACGACTTCACCGGTATAACTAAAGAGCCGAATGTGTGCAGGACTCCAGCGAACATCACCGTGTTGTTCCAGAGCGGTTCGGATTTTTCTCTTTCTGAGAATTTCACTGCCGGTATTTCTTACGATGCTCAGCAGTGCGAGGAGAGGAAGGCTACGGGTAATACTGTGCAGCCTAGTTCGACCAACATTGTGCTGTCCATATTCTTCGTCAGCTTATTGGGGGTCGGGATGGGCCAGACTGCTGTGTACACCTTGGGCATACCCTATATCGATGACAATGTAGCCAGCAAAGAATCTCCTCTGTATTTCGGTAAGTTCAATGCTTGCAGATCCAGACTTTGTACAGGAATAATAGGCAGGATTCTGTGCAGGGTGTTCGTTTTTCGAGCTCCACCATAGGGGTCTCAGTTATAAGAGATAAGAGGTAAATTAGGACAATGTTGCGCATTTTCTAGCTGAACATTTATCTGCAAGAAAATTTGATGAGTCATTTTTATTTTTTGAATTATTGGAAGAAAACGAAAATTTATAATTCTCTTTTTTATTTTTCAAGCGGAAACCAAAAGACCTAGACGTTCCTGACTGGGACATTCTTGAGGCTCTTTTTACAAGAAATCTGGATCTGTCATTGTATTTTCTATGACGTTCGTGATGCCAAAGTTACAACACACAACTTTGTTTTTTTCTTATGGGCGCCATATTGGATTTTTGCATTTTCGTTTTTTTTTTCAAATGATTCAGAAACTGAAAATGACACATCGAATTTTCTTGCTGATAAATGTTCACCATGAAAATGCACAGCTTTGCCCTGATTTAACCGACCTCGTATCTCTTATAATAACTGAGATCCCTATGGAGGAGCTCGAAAAACGGGCACCCTGTATAGATTCCTTTGACGTGAGAGGAAGTGTTGATGTGGTGAATGTTTTTAGCCATTACCATTGGAGTAAGGATATTGGGACCAGCTTTGGGCTTCATAGTGGGCTCTTTGTGCACCAGTGTATACGCTGATCTGTCGGTGGATCCGAAAATCGATTCTACTGATCCCAGATGGGTGGGAGCATGGTGGCTTGGTATGTTGATTATATAAATGGCGACATTTTTGCTGATTGGGGTTCTTGTTAGGTTTGGTTCTGATATCCGGACTGCTGATGTTGGCGTCTTTAGCAATGTTCACGTTTCCTAAAAGGCTGCAAGGATCCAAGCAGGCTACCAGAGTACAAAATCCTGATAAAAAACATCCCAGCATCAAAGGTAAAAAATTGAGAGCGTTGGTAATTTCCCAGTTAGTTATATGGGTTTTGTAGATTTTCCAAAAACTGTGAAACGGCTGTTGAAAAATGATATTTTGATGTTCAGGACAGCTAGTAGCGTCTTACATATTCTTCCCATAGCTGGTTTGTATACATTCTTACCGAAATATCTGGAAACTCAGTTCAGGCTACCTACGCCTTCGGCTAACATGATATCAGGTCAGTACAATAACTTTATTGTTAAATCTATTGGTATATTTGTTTTATCTATATCAATTTGTCTACATTTATTATGACGTTAATTGATATGTTGAAGAGTATACAGAATTATTGAGATAGATAATGGTCGATTCTTTCGATATGATATTTGGTCTTGAGAATCAAAGTATACTCTTTATACTCCGTATTGGATTATTTCCCAAACATGTTTATTTGGTATTTTAGGAGTTGGCGGCATTCTTGTGATGGGAGTTGGAATCATAATAAGCGGAATATTTATTTTAAGAGTCAAGCCGAATGCTAGATTTGTTGCAGGATGGATTGCATTCACGGCAGTTATTTATGCGATAGGTAATTATTTGAATAAAACTTCGAATTCAATCAAATTTAAACGCAGTGACATTTTGGGGCAAATCATCTGATTTGTCCTTACTACACGTATATTGAAATAATATTCATATTTTTATTTTATAGAAACGAGGAGAGAAAATCCCAAAAAATTTGGAATAATCAAATTATTCACGTTTTAATTTTTTCGGAATGTTATATAATATCAAATCATTTTTTCATTATTATTATGAAAAAATATGGACAACCATTCAATTTTCCCTACTTAATTTCTCCTTAACAACATTTAAAGGTTATGAAAATAATTCAGAGCCCAGATTTTTTTAATAATCTCGCTTTTATACTTGTATGAATTTTTTCTTCTCAAAAACCAGTTGAATACAGCACAAACTCTATAAATATTTCTTGCATTTTTCAATCCATGTAGCATTGACTAATATTGCAGAAAATTCAACTCTGTGTATACCCTCTAAACTAGCTGTGATATTTCAGGAATGGGTATTTTGATGTTCATAGGCTGCCCGACAGACGATCTAGCGGGACTGATGGATAACAAGTGAGTGAACTGTCTGTTTCATATTTGGATAGTTGATTCATAAGCCGGATTTCTAGAGTATTCTCCCTATTCTTATCGTTTGTTACGTGGTGTAGCCTCATTTGTGTGTCGTTCAAATTTATCGGAATTTCTTGTTTGTATATCAGGCTATCATTCATACGTCATTGGTGCTTCGGGGTATTCACGAAGTTCAATACCACTTAACTCACTTCATCCGGACTTCACGAACTCGTTGCTTCCTTGCTTGTACCTTTGTACACCAAATGTCATCCAGATTTTTCGGACTGATATGGACTGTGGTATTTCATCATTATTTCGCGGAGACCTTATAGATTAGATCATATTGGAGCCTCTACACTCCTACCTTTTTTAGATCTACAGTGTGCCCAAGATAAGGATGAACAGCATGGGTATCTCGGTAACCTAAAGAGTTACACAGCAGGTCAAAAAGTTGCGCAATATTGGGAAATCCCAAAAATGTCGTCTACTTTTGGAGATATTCGAAAAAAACCGAATTTGGCCATTTAGTTTTTATTATTTTCTGAAGTAATTTGAAAAGTTTCGGAAAACCCAAAGGCACTTTCTCATTGCCACTTTTTTACCTCTACAAAATGACATTCACAAAATCTCCGTAGAACGTTTCGTTTCGAAGTAACGGTTACTGAGATCCCCATGCTGTTCATCCTTATCTTGGGCACACTATATATATTGTATAACCTCTACATTGCTATCTTCTAGTTCTAGCCCTAGTCTTGTTCATGAGACTCTACCAATAGCTAGCTTTATATTTGCCGTGCATCTGAGAGCTCTCGGTTTTTCTTTTTCCAGCTCAACTAGCTTTAACCTCGCAGTCTTGGCAAGCTCCCACAAGTGGAAAAAATTTGTGAATGTGCTGTTTCCTTCTCTTTCTGGAAGAACCTGCATAGCAGTTCTCCTGCCATGTCTATCGTACTAATATGTTTATCGAGCCTACCATGCCCTGAAAAAAGTCAATATGTAAATGTTCAATGATGCATTGTTCAGCATGTCTCATTTCTGGCGAATTGTTTTACGATTCTTGGCGAGTTCGTGACTATACAGACATTTTCAGGTACTACTGTAGCTTGTACACCATCAGACTTCACAATTGAACCTTCACGAAGTTCTTCGAAAACAGAACTCATTGCTTTCGTTATATTTCATTTCCCCTCTTTCTCATCCTCACCATGATCTTATATTCTCTCCCTGTAGGTTTGACCTGTAGCAACTGACCTGCGCTTTTGTTTCGAGAATTCCTTGTTCCTTCGGCTTGTACAGCAGACTTGCTCTCTATATTTTCGTGTTACACCGGAAGCAAACCTCTCCTCACCCTGACACCGTATATTCTCTCCCTACAGGTTCGACATGCAGCAGCTGACCTGCAACTGCGTTTCTTTCAGGAATTCATCGTTACTTTAGCTTGTATAACAGACTTGTTCCTATTTTGTCGTGTTACATCGGAAGCAAATGCTCTGCGTATCACCCTGACACCGTATATTCTCTCCTCATAGGTTCGAAATGCAACAGCTGACCTGCAACTGCTTTTCTTTCGAGAATTCCTCATTCCTTCGGCTTGTATAGCAGACTTGCCCTCTATCTTTTGTTATACCGGAATCAAAAAATCTCTCCTCTTCACCCTGACACCGTATATTGTCTCCCTACAGGTTCGACATGCAGCAGCTGACTTGCAACTCGACTTGCGAGTGCAGCACCGACCGACTGACCCCTATCTGCGGCGAAGACGGCATAACCTACCTCTCCCCTTGCCACGCGGGCTGCCAGAACTACACGAAAAAGGACGGCAAGATCGTCGAGTACTCTGACTGCATGTGCCTGAAGGCCCCCGGGGGCGAGCTGGGAAAGGCCAAGATCGGGTACTGCAACCTCGAGTGCAACAACTTCATCCTCTACATCGTGCTCTTCTCGATATTCGTGTTCATCCACTCGACGTCAGAGGTTTGGAACGATTGATATTACTAAATGGAAATTTCCAATTTGAAAGTTTTGAAATCGGAACTTTTGGAAAGATATTCCAATCAACATTACATTTGAAATTTCAGAAATTTTCACGTTTCTATGTATGATTAAAGGTAGAACTCGGTGGAGGTTGATGCATATGCGCTGCAGTGCTGCAGAGGTCCCAAAAAAATAAAGAACTTGAAAATTTTTGAAATCACCGTGATTTTAAGTGGTGTCGCTAGAGAGTATTCTAGTTTGCGGCGAGATCAACGTGTATTGCTGACAATAATAATTATTATACTATGGAATTGGTTTTCAGTTTAATCAACCTGAAGAGATTTTCTATATATATTCATACGAAGAAAAGATAAAATTGATTAGAAGAGATACCATTACCAGATATTTTCATTGAAAAATCTGGTTTAAGTAGAAGGACAAGTTATAGGTAAAATACTTGATACTGTTTTTCCTGCCTACTTTCTGTGATAGCAAGGGATCTAGGAGATACCTTGAGGGAGACAAAAAAATCAAGAGAAACGATGTTTCTCATGCCTAAAGCGAATCCAAGTGTTCCTTAGTAAATCAGTTACTGATGACGACCATTTGACAGATGTCTTTCCCGGCTATCTATAAAAAAACTTATCTCCGAAATAGACAATTTGCAAAGAATAGCACTCGAATCTAGTAGGTATTTACATTTATCAATAACGACTTGTCATATGGCTACTAGACTTTAATCAAAATTGGAAAGAAGTGCTTTCATAGTGACAATAGGTTCATAGAAATATATTGCTAGTGGTGAAAAAATTTAATATACACCTTGATAGAAAAGAATTTTTTTAACTCAATACTATTACCACGGGGTCTTATATACCTCGGCTGCAGCCTTTACTACCTTGGCGTATAAATGCATATTAACGGGCAAAACGGGCCTTGAAACAAATGACATCTCTTGTTCAGCATGATTGAATCTATATAATCCTAGATTTTCACAATATTTCAGTGCAAATGGTACGGGGTCCTTTGTGAAATAAATTTCGTATAGCTATCTCAAAAGTGAAATATTCCCGACCATAGGTGGGTTCAATGCTTCTCATCCTGAGGTGCGTCGACCCCAGGGACAAGGCGATGGCCCTGGGGCTGATCCAGTTCGCCATAGGGCTGTTCGGCAACGTGCCGTGCCCCATCGTCTACGGGGCCGTAGTGGATTCCGCGTGCCTCGTGTGGAAGATGGCTTGCGGAGAGAAGGGCGCCTGCGGCCTCTACGATTCCAACGTGTTCCGCATGTTTTACCACGGTGAGTTTTCCTTCGGTTTCCCGTTTTCCGTTTCGTCTGGTCGCTCTCCTCCTCTTTTATCGATCGTGGTGCGCAACCAACTAGCGCCTGCAGCAGTGTTGCCGGTGTTGATGATGACACAAATAGCGCAATGCTGCCAACATAAAAGCGCAATATCCAAAACAAAAACTTGCACATGCGCATTATCTGGAAAATTTTGCTTCACTAGTTTACTGCTTGGACAAAAGTCTAAAATTTGTGAAATTTATCCAAAATCGTTAACAGCGTAGTTATAAAATATTTCAATCAACAGCTAGCTAATATATAATGAGAATTGCCGCAATAAAAATAGGAAATACGTCCGGACCATGTCCACGAAACATTTTTATTTCGGAAAGTAGAGTTGGCAAATCGAATCGAAATCATTCTCACAATAATTTTTTCTTATCGACCAATATTATTATTTGCATCTAAAAAATAAACGACTTAAGTGCATGGATTTTTGAACAAATACCTTCATAATAGCATTTTATCACAATATTTACTCGACAAGGTTATCAATAGGTAGGTACCTAAAATATATAAGAGAATAAATATAATGTGAAACGATGTTTTCTAAAATATGACAAAGATATAAGTCGAAATGATTCTCGGTATTACTCATGAATTGACAAAAACAACAGACTCCATAAAGATTCAGTGAACTTATTTAATTGAGAAAAAAATCCATTGCCGAAGTATTACTGATGATGTTTTCATTTTTTTAATTTTTATCATTATAGGTACTACAGGGGCCATTCTATTATGCGCATTTTTCGTTGACATATTAGTTTGGTACAAAGCAGGAAGTATCAATTTCGTCGACGAACAAGTGCCCTTCGAAGAAGAACTGCACACCATTACGGGAAAAATAAAAAACGAGCCAGAATAGCAAAAAACTACGGTGGATATACCACCAAAATATTGAAGAAGGTAGATGTCCATATCTGTGTTGTATATAAATTTTTTGTATTAGATTTGTGTATATTCTGCAATCTGCATTGTTATATGAAACGAAGGATTTTCGCCGGATGAACCTAAAAACATATTTGACCCGATCTTGATGATGTAGAGAGACAAGGAGAATTAGAAGTAGTCAGAAAATGAAGTAATTGAAGATACATCACTATAGCAAAAAGATATTGAAAATATATTATTACTATTATTTTTATGATCGGCTAATTATAATTAAGTTATAAGTAATTTTAATTGTGGAATCTCAACACCAAAAAAATAATCAACCATTTCGATGTAAAAAGCGTACCTATATAGCGAACTATAATGAAATAGGAACATTTTCTGTTGAAGCCTTTGATTCCATTGTTCACGAAACATCATAATGGATCATCCTGTACCAACCACGACGGTTGATAGATTTCACAATTACGAAATTTGTATAGTAGGTGTTTAGGCAATTTCCTTACAGGAACAACTTTTTTCATTGAATATTAAAAGTAAGCGGCCAAGGCCAAACGTTCTAAATTTATAAATAATTATAATATTATTTATTTGGAAAACAACTCTGGTCGTTTTACGTAGAATTTTTTAAAAATATAATTTGGCATGATGAAGGAGAATAAAAATCAACTGTGAACTGAATGACACTACAAAACTGCAAACCATAGGCGTCTATCCTAAAAATAAATCGAATTAATTTCGATAGAAATATCTTTGAAATTTAGAGCTAATGAACAAAAAGTATTTTTAGTTGATTTTCACTCTACTGATTCATAAAAAAAATCCTCATTCCATTTCAAGAATTGAAGTATGCCATGTACCTTATTCTTAACAACAAATCGTTTGTACCCGTAAAGAAATAATGGACTCATCCGCTGTTGATAATAAGTGGATATGACCTCATTTTTAGGACTCGGCCTTTTTTATAAGCGCTTTGAACTTTATTTCATCAATTATTATTTATATTTATCTGATCTGACACCGCATATCGTTGAGCGGTATTAAGCAATAATATATTTAGTAGTATGGATGAAGAACTTATTTTTATTTGAGGTACCAACACCATCCCAAACAATTTCAACATAATCAACTGAATCTTAATCATTTCTCATTAATTATTTCTGTTCCTTCAATGTGCGTACCATTTGGCGAAAAGTTGTAAAAGTTTACATATTAAGTGCTTGGAGGAGTACATTTCCATATGTAGACCCAATTAATAGGTTACGGACCACGCAATATCGCGAAAACAAAATAGTTGAATCATATCAAAAGCTCATCCACGGTTCAGATAAGAATCGTCTATCTCGAAAAAAAAAAACGAGTTCATCGATCTCTAGAGTAAACTCGGGATTTATCACGACTTTTTGACGCTTTTCTTCGAAATAGCATCAACTCTTATCGGTGCTTGTTTCGACAGCAACGGCGATAAACACAAGTTGTATGTGTTAATCGAATTAAGTATTTGAACGATCAAGAACCGAATATTTCCAAATGATACTGTAACGACAAAAAATGCGATTTACCGGATTATTAATTTAGCCGTTTAGGTAATTCTTCCTTTCGGTACCTACGCTACTGGCCCGTGAATGTTCTATCGATCAGAGCCCTGCTAGCTCTCTGGTAGACTATTTATAAAAATACTCTCGATCTCGAAGTAAATGCATTTTTATAGACATCTAATTTAACTGAATTGATCGATGAAAAAATTTGAATCTTGGTGCTCGCCTGCACTTATTGGATGATTATTGAAGATAGGCCTACAGAGAATGCGGATTATAGAAAAAATGCCCATTAGCTTCGCAACCAGTAATCGAAAGATGATTTTTTCGGATTCGAATTGAATATCGGCATGCTCGGTTTTCGAAGGCTGAATATTTCCAGGGCCGGCTTCGCAATTCTTTGCATTTAATCCAAAATACTCATACAGGGAGATTATTGGGCATATCAACAGTACAGGGTGATTGTTTATATTTTACTCAATAGCTATCTAGTTAATGTTGGTCCTACAGAAATGTCCAAATGGGCAAAAGTTGAGTATTATGAGCATAAAGAATCCCGTACTAGGAAATGCAAAAAAGCATCGTTGACCTGAAAATTTTACATGAACTGGTATTTTTCAAATAGAACACCCTAGATTTTATTTTTTTAAACGGAGCTCTTTCCTCTGATTCCAAATATATATACTTTATTGAGGTTTTCTTTGTCAATCAGAAATGCCCCCCTGGGGGGTTATAGCCATCCGAATGAAAGCCCGAGGTATAATGGATTTTATGATATTTTCGAAAATCGCTGTGATAAAATAACCAAATTTTGTACATGTACCTAATTTTTTATGCCCAATTTGAAAATGTTGAAGCAATTTCCGATATTTTGATCAGGGGCGTGAGAAATAGGTGGGGCTAGTGGCTCTTTTTCCTCCAAATTCTTTGTAATGCAATTTTCGGCAATTCGATCAGGAAATATGAAAATATTATCAGTTTTACCTAAAAATATTAGTCATGTTTTGTTTCGATAGCACTCACCATTTTCGAAATAAATCGATTTTATAAGTCTGCTGCGTAATATAATAAGTACTTTTTCTTAATAGGGTACCTTCCACCTTATGTTTCAATTCTTTCTTTTTATTGCACCCTCCATATTTTGAATCCAACATCGAAAGTATTCCCTATCAAACCATAAGTTTTGGAAAAATTCGGTCTATCGAGCAAAAAGCACTATTTTTAGTAGGCAGTGGAATTTTGAAATCAGTTTATTTCGAAAACGGTATCAGAACTGAACAAGAGTACCATTTTTAGGTGACATATGCTGAGAGTTCCAAATTTCCTGGTCAAACTGTCGAAAATTGCATAAACAAAAAATTTGGGAGAAAAAGTCCTCCTAGCTCCACCTATTTCCAAGCCCCTGATCAAATTTGGGAAAATCATTTACAATTTTAAATTGGGCATAAAAAGTTAGACATATGTACAAAATTTGGTTATCTTATATCATGTAGGGTTTCGAGAATATTAACAAAAAACCATAATCTCGGAATTGCCCTCGGATGGCTATCATTTCTCGACCCATGTTTTTATAAAGTTTTTTTACTATTTTTGTTTCTAGAATCTTGAAATCTTTACATGTAATTTCGGGACACCCTGTATAGGGTCCCAAAATGTCACTGCGTTCAAAAAGCTTACTATATATAGTGAGCCTACAAAAAAATCAATCGATTATTAGTGACACTTTGTTTTGAAAGATGTTTGAAGAAGAGAAATATAGATATATAGAAAAAAACAAACAAATTTTCCGTCATCTTTGGACGTATCAGGAACGAATTTTCTCCCGATTTCAACATGAAAAATATATATATATTTTTTAAATTGTCTTCGTATTTAAATGTTAACAAACAATTGAGTTACAGGCTATTTTCATGAATTAATTTCGAATTTGCCATTATGATGTTCAGATTTCAGTAGTGAATACCATGTTCTATGTATATCAACTGAACAGAAAGCAATGCTATTGTCCCCTTTCAGAAGAATGCAAGCGGTTTTCTTGTGTTTTCTCTCTTGGTTGTTATCTTCTTTATCCCTATGATTTCGATATTATTCCAATTTGTCATTATGTTGAATATGCATGGCTAGTACTCTAGTCGCTTGAGTAGTAGAAGGAGAATATTTGTATAATAACAGCAAAATATACTGGATGGTTCGTTTTATATTTATGACGCGCTTCGAAGAAATAAGCAGAATCAATAAAACACTATGTATTAATTTCTCTACATTTTTGTGATTTCGTTTACTCGTCTAAATAAATAAAAGTATTGTAAGGGTAAAATTTAGACTTAATTTAGATCCATAACTACCTACTTGACCTTTATTTGTTGACTAATAATGGAATACCTTATTGTATATATTCGATTTCAATACAAGTATTCAACATTTTTCGAAATATATTATTTGTGGGAATGATATAAACATGATTCCGTGAAGAATATATGGATGGGCCTTGCCTTGGACTTTTGCTAACGATTAATTTTTTTTCACCTGATATCCCTCCAGTTTGATATACATATAATGGACTTCTATTAAAGATAAATTCAATATCATCCATCCATCCAACTATTTAGATTTCCAAGTTGGCCCACCCTACGAGATTGGAATAAATTTACATATTTTATGAATCATTATAGCGAAGATAAACGTTCAACATTTTTGGATACCTACAGAGCGACGTTGAAATTTCCATCCAGAATTTTTTTTGGGCATGGACTCAAAGGCTGTGATCAGAAAGGTGTTTGTACGTACGCATTGAAATGAGCAATTATTTTCTTCCGTTTCTAGAATTTATTTCTTCATGCATTTCAAGTTTCTTTGTACATCTTTACAAACACAAAACAATTTATCTGTGGATAAATTGAAATAAATATTCATCAGGTACAGAGGATTAACAGCTGAGTAGGGTTTACCTGAGTTGAAATTTGTAGTTTAGTGTATTGTATATAGTGACCTGACCATTTGTGAAAAAATCTTTGTTGTCAATAGTATTCTAAAAACCAATCTTGTTTGCTTTTTGCATTGTTTGGAAATGGACAAAGAAATCTTCGTATCAAGTCCATAAAAATTAGTAGGTACATACCTGCTTGCACATATAGTTCAGTCATTGGGGATCCAAAATAAGGCTTACCTGGAAAAAAGTCCGGAAGTTTTGAAACTTTGTAGGATTATAGTTTTGGGTGTCCAGAACTAAAATTCACAAAATGCACATTCCGGGACATGCCGCCGGCGCCGCCATCTTGCCAAGATGGCGCTCAAAAACGGTTTTTTGAAAATATCTCCAAAACGGTGCGTTTTTAGAAAAAATATGAAGACATAAAAATTTAAGAAGCAGAAAGAAATGTTTCGAGCATATTTCTGCTAAAGAGAGCCGTTTAGGCTCAAGAGTTGATTGAATGAC